CCGAATGAAGAAATATAACTTTCCCTGTTTATAGATGACGTGATCTTCTTCCTGGAAAATCTTATAAAATCTACAATGTAGAAACTGGAACTAATAAATAAGTTCAAAAGGTCAGAATACAAGACAAACATATTGTATATTTGTATATTATAATTTAGTTGTAGAAATAAAAAATGCAATACCATTTACAATCACTCAAATAGAAAATAGAATCTTTGGATATAAATCTAGCTAAATAAGTATGCACTTATGTTCTGAAAACTGTGAAATGTTAATAAGAGAAATCAAAGTAGATTTAAACAAATGTTCAGGGATTGGAAGCCTCAACCTAATAAAGATATCAATTCTTTACAAACTGATATACAGATTTAGTGTGATTTCCATCAAAATCCCAGGAAAAAATAATTTTGAAAAAGAACAAAGTGGAAAGAGTCATTCTCCTTGATTTTATTTTATTTACTTATTTATTTTTTCTCCTTGATTTTAAAACTTAATATATGGCTACAATAATCACAATTGTATGGTATTGCTAGAGTAATAGACACAGGTCAATGATACAGAATAGAGAATCCAGAAATAGCCTTACACAAGTACAGCCAGACAATTTCTGGCAGAGGTACAAATGCAGTCTAATGAAGAAAGGGAGTCTTTTCAACAAAAGTTGTTGGATATTTTTTAGGGAAAAAAATTAGCCTGGACCTAAACCTCACATCTTACACAAAAATTAACTCAAAGTGGATCAAATGTAAAACAAAGCTATGAAACTTTTAAAAGATAACAGGAAAAAATCTTCAGGATCTTGGACTTGCTGAAGAGTTCTTAGACATGACAGCAGAAGTATGATTCATAAAAGAAAAAGTTGATGATTTGAATTTCATCAAGACTTAAGCCCTTTGCTCTGCAAAAGTCCCCGTTAATACGATGAAAAGATAAGCCACAATCCCTGTTTCTGTCAAAGGGCTCGTATAGAGAACAAACGTGAACTCTCAAAACTCAACAGGTTAAAAAAAGCAAACAGTCCAAGTAGAAAATGAACAAAGGATATGAAGATATATTTCACAGAATGAAATACAGTAGACAAACAAAAAGATGTTCATCTTTTCTAACAGGGAAATACAAATTAAGACCATGATGATATAACAATGCATATTGTTGAGAGCAGTTAAAATAAAAAGTAGTGATAATACCAAAAGCTGGTAAAAATAAGGATCACTCATATATTCCTGATGGCAATGGGGAATGGTACAGCCACTTTGAAAATAGTTTAGTTCTTAAAATACTAGACATACATTTACTGTACAACTCAGAAATTTTCCTCTTGGGAATTTATTCCAGAGATATGAAAATTATGTTCACTCAAAAACCTGTATATAGTTGTTCATAGCAGCTTTATTTGTTATAGTCCCAAACTGGAAACATCTAAAATTTTGCTTAATTGGTGAATGATTAAACAAACCACGGTAATCCATACTGTGAAATATTACTCAGCAATGACAAAGAACTGTTGCTCCATATAGCAATTGAGATATCAAGGGCACTGTTTTGAGTGAAAAAACCAGCGTCAACAGATAACATGCTGTGATCTGTATCAGCTGACTCTGTTTATGTTATGTTGTTGTTGCTAAGTTGTGTCCAACCCCAGGGATTGCAGTGCGCCAGGTTCCCTGTTCTTCACTGTTCCTGTAGTTTGCTCAAACTCCTGTAGGTTGAGTTGGCGATGCCGTCCAACCATCTCATCCTCTGTTGCCCCTTTCTCCTCCTGCCCTCACTCTTTCCAGCATCAGGGTCTTTTCCAGCGTGTCGGCTCTTCACGTCAGGTGACTGAAGTATTGGAGCTTCAGTTTCAGCATCAATCCTTCCAATGAATATTCAGGGTTAATTGCCTTTAGGATTGACTGGATTAATCTCCCTGCAGTCCACGGGACTCTGAAGAGTCTTCTCCAACACCACAGTTAATGGTCTAACTCTCACATCCGTACATGACTACTGGAAAAACCATAGCTTTCACTATGTGGAATTTTGCCAGCATTTATTTATGTTGTCTACCTATTTATGTTGCATTCTCCAAATGACAAAATTATAGAGATTAATGACTGTTGACATTTAAGGGTGAGGAGAGAATGGCTGTGACTGTAAAGGAGTAGTGGGAGGCTGACCTTTGTGGAGATGGAATAGTTCTGTACCTTACGGAGGTGGTAGTTATAGCAGCTCACACATGATAAAATGATATAGACCAGTAGATACACATTGTTCCAATGTCAGATCTCTGGGTTTGACATTGTGCTGTAATTATTTAGGATATAACTGTTGGAAAAACTGGATTAAAGGCACAGGAGCCTCTCTACTACCGTTACAGCTTCCTGTGAACTTTTAGTTATTTCAAAATAAAAGTTTTTTTAAAATAAAAACTTGTGTTTGATTACCTGTTATCTGCCAGCAATTTTACTTGAACTTTTAGATCTCTCTAACTTTCCCTGCAAATTATAGGTATTCTCCCCATTTAACAGATGAGACCTAGGAGGCTTCATTTGTTTTTTCTGAAATCAGATGCATCTCTTAGGATCAAGAAAATCTGGTAAATTGCCTCAGGTCAAGTGACTGGTGAAGAACTACAGCAAGCTTTAAACCTGGCTGCCTCAGTCCAAAAGCCCATGTCCTAAAAAAGAAAAAAACAAAAAGAAATCAAAAGAAAAAACCAAAAGCCCATGTCCTTTCTCACCTTCTGCTCTAAGTACTTGTGTCTTGGTATTAAATAAAAGTAGGGCTTAATGTTGAGGTGAGGGGAGTATTTATTTATAATGCTAATAATTTATGCTAATAACAGTTTAGCATTATAGGATAGATATATGATAAATGACACAGAAATGAGAGGTATGTTGATCCAGATAGAAACATGAGCCCTTTAAAGTTACTTAGAATTTAGTGGAAGGGTCAGGGAAGTAAAGACATGATTATAATAGATCTTATAAAAATACTAAGATAAAACTATATAAGAAGATTTTTATATATATAAGAGGTTACAGGCTTCTCCTCTCCAGAAGAGAGAAATCTGTAACCTCTCCTGCGGCAGTGGAAGGTTAGCAAACAGGTTTAGCCTGTTCTTGTTGCTCAGAGACATGTTGCTATAGAAGCCATGAACAAAGACAAAAAGACAGACAAATTGAAGTTTGTTTGATTATCCCACATCCTGTAGTTTGAGAAAAATACTAGTAATGAAAGTAGGTAATGAGAGCAGGGGAAAGGAAAGAAACTTAGTGCAATCATGGATGAGAAGAGCCAACAGGATCTCACTGCATGGTTTCTGTACTAGTTACTAAAGGTGAGCTGCAGGTTGTTTTAAAGTTCCTAGAGGCAAAGGCAACAAAGAAATTGTAGTTAAATAATTTATGGTCCAAAGGATAAAAACAAACCAGGTATACAAAGAAGTACATTTTTTCCTGAAACTGGAGACCTGAGCAAAGTTCTCCCTGAGGGTTCTTTTTTTTTAATTTATTGAAGTATAGTTGATTTATAATGTGTTAGCTTCTGATGTGTACAGCAAAGTGATTCAGTTATATGTATATTATTTTTCATATTCTTTTCCATTATGGTCTATTACAGAATATTGAATATAATTCCCTGGGCTATACAGTAGGGTCTAATTATTTATGCATTCTATATCCCTGAGGATTCTCCCAAAGAGGGTTCTGTAACATAGTATATAGCACTTTTACAATAAATTCCCTAATAGAGGTTTTAAAATGAGTTTAGCGAGATTGTTTCTTTTTTCTTAATTAATTTTTATTGGAATATAGTTGCTTTACAATGTTGTGTTAGTTTCTACTGTACAACAAAACGAATCAGCCATCCGTACACATGTCTCTCCTTCCTTTTGGACTTCCTTCCTGTTCAGGTCACCACAGTGCTTAAGGAGAGTCTGTGTGAGACTGTTTCTTACAATCTGTCTAGAAGTTAGGTATATATTGAAGATGGTGGAAAGGGCTTTACAGGCAGTAGGCCTTCGATCACAGATGGAATTTGTTCGTCTCATTCTCACTGTAATGAAGCACCATGAGGCTACAGGAATTACCTCAAATTTGCAGTTTCAAAGAATTTTTAGCTGTTGTTGGGATAAGACCAAAAAAGAAGAGGGTAGGAGGTATTGCTGCCATTCAGCCTGATTGTGATAAAAGCTCAACTAAACAAATAAGTGCATTTACAGTTACCTTTTTGCTTTTTTTTAAAAAAAGTTTCTTCACATTTTTTCTCATTTCCTGGGCTTGACAACTTAAATTCTTTACATGTAAATCTCACGTGTTAAGGTGCCTTGTTTTACCGTTGTTTAGTCGCTCAGTTGTGTCAGATTCTTTGCAACCCCATGGACTATATAGCCCGCCAGGCCCCTCCGTCCATGAGATTTCCCAGGCAAGAATACCAAAGTGAGAGTTGGGTTAAAATAATGATTTTTCTCATCTTCTTGAGCATAATAAATGTCATTGTACTACACTTAGTTATATGTAATTCATGACCTTTAGGATACTTCCTTATATATGTGACAAATATTACAGTTTATATTTTTAAAGAAAACTTTGTTGATTTTGATGGTTTGGAAAGAGCTGTCTAGTTCTTTGAAAAGGGCACGGTTATAACAAAAAAAAATAATGCTAGAGCTAAGAAAAATGTTACATAAGGGGTCTGGCAATTTTAGATGCTCTTTAAAGACCAAAATTGTTTTTTCTTCTTTATACATCTTACACCAACATAGTGCCTTGGATATAGTAGGTACTCAGTAAATATTTGTTAAATATACAAGACAGATCTTATGGAAAAAGACCTTTGTGCCACCAGTTTATCTCAGATATTTCTTTTATGGCATTTACATACTGTATTTTTGTTTTCTTAAGTAAACAATACATTCACCTTGAGCAGATACTTAACCTATCTTTGTATCTTTTGAATTTAACAAAATTCTTAACATATTATCCTTATTATGAGTCTAACCTATTTTTTTTCCTTTAAAGGCATTTGGATACCTTCGTGATAGAAAAGGCCCTTTTCTTCATCCATTGATGGTTTGCTAGTGGGCTGGGAAAGGAAGCTGTGGTCCTCCACTTTAGTCAGCAAATACTTGATTGATTTGGTATCAGTATTTAGCTTAGTCAAGTAAGTTACTGATATGTTCAAAAGGATTTTTCTGAAGAGTTGACATATTTTGATAACAATAATTAGAAATTTAATTCTAAAGAATGCCTAATTGGTGATTTTAATGATAATAATATAATAATAATTATTTCAAGACTGGTTCCTTGTCTGCAGATACAAGTATTTGGCAATTTTTCTAAAAAATCAAGCTAAGTTTTTCTGTTTCTAAGCTGAAAATTGTCTTGAGAGTTATAGCTATATAAACCTCAAAGTATTTATTTAGTATATATTTTTCAGATAGGTAATATAGTCACATGGTATGAAATTCAGAAAAAAGATATATAGTTAAGTTTCCCTGCCAGGGAAGCAAACCTTCTTTCTTGAATCCAGTCACCTAGTTGTTCTCCTCAGAGGAAAGCTAAGGAAATCTTTTAATGTGCTTATTTGCTTTCTCATTACAACAGATTGAAGATCTCAAACAGACAAATCATGGGTTGGAAGAATATGTTAAGAAACTCTTGGATAGTAAGGAGGTGGTAAGCAGTCATGTAGATGATTTAACCAGCCACAATGAGCATCTTTGTCAAGAATTGATTAAAATTGACCAACTAGCAGAGCAACTAGAAAAAGAAAAAAATTTTGTGGTGGATACCGCTGACAAGGAACTTGAAGAAGCAAAGGTACTAGATTTATCACTAATCAGGTTTTTTTTAAATTGAGGTATAATAGACATGTTACATTATGTTAGTTTCAAATGTGCAAAATAATGAATCGATATTTGTATATATTGTAAAATAATCACCATAACAAGTCTAGTTAACCTCCAACTAACTACTGATCAGGATTTTAGTTCTGTTTAAACATCATGGAATTATTAATTCGGGCTTCCCTGGTGGCTCAGTGGTGAAGAATCCGCCTGCCAATGCAGGAAACTCAGGTTCAATCCCTGGTTTGAGAAGATCCCCTGGAAATGACAACTGTCTCCAGTATTCTTGCCTGGAGCATCCCATGGACAGAGGAGCCTGGCAGGCTACAGTCCATGGGGTCAAAAAAAGAGTTGGACACAACTTAATAATTAAACAACAACAAATTATTAATGCAGTAGGAAAAGTGATATACTCATATCATCTGAAGGTTTTTTAGATTTGACATTGTAATTGTCTATTCTAAGGGTTAAATTATATTGTGCTTCATATTTTATTTCTTTAAAAAAATTCGCTCAAAATATTTCCTAAGTAATATGTGCTCGTGTTCAGTTGTGTCTGCCTCTCTGCAACCCCATGGACTGTAGGCCTCCAGGCTCCTCTGTCCATGGGATTCTCCAGGCGAGAGCACTGGAGAGGGTTGCCATCTCCTCCTTCAGAGGATTTTCCCAGCCTAGGGATCGAAGCTGCAGCTCCTGCATTTCTGCATTGGCAATCGGATGCTTTACCACTGAGTCACCTGGGAAGCCCAAGTAATATGTAGTCACAGTAAAAACTTTAAGCAATGGGGATGTTCTATATGTAGAAGAGTTCTCTTTCTCCGTAATCCTTTTATCTTCTGCAGAGGTATCTGCCAACAAATAGATATGTATATTTCCATTCTTCTTTTTTGTTTTCACACACACACACACACACACACACGAAATTTATTTCACACTTAAAAAAAAGATGTTTTTCTTAAACCTCAGTTTTAAGTTTCTATGTGGTTGTATTTATCAGTCTTGACCAACTTCTGAGTTTTGATCTTTGATGTTTTTGAGTTCCCACTCCCTTTTTAAAACATTTGAATATATTTTACCTTTTTAGAGCAGTTTTAGGTTCAGAGAAAAATGAAGCAGAAGGTAGAGAGATTTCCCATATACTCCTTGCCCCCACATATGCCTACTGTTCCCCATTATCAGCATCCTCCAGCAATGGTATATTTGTCACAGTTGATAATGAACTGACATCATGATCACCCAGAGTCCACAGTTTGCCTCAGGTTTCACTCTTGATGTTGTACAGTCTACAATTTGAACAAATGTAAAATGGCATGTATCTACCATTATAGTATAAAACGGAGTAATTTCACTGCCCTAAAAATATTCCTCTGAAAATCTCCACCTAGTTTTGATCATTGTTTGGGAAGGCCTTCTCACCTCAGAAACAACAAGAATATCCTCTATAGTTTTAAGAGTTTTAATATGTATATTTAAAGTTTTAATCCTCTGGAATTTCTTTTTGTTCTAGTATGAGGTAGAGTTGATTAGTCCTTTCTTCAGTCACTGACATGAAGTGCCATTTTAACAGCCACTACATTCTTATATGTGCATAGATATGTTTCTAGACTTTTTGGTTTCATTGATTCATTTGTTATTTTCTGTGCCACTACCATATTATTTTAATAACTAGCTTTATGATTTTTTTTTACATAAAAACATTTGTTTATTTATTTATTATTTTTAAATTTTGACCTTGCTGGGTCTTCATTGTGGTACATGGGCTTCTCTTATTCTGGAGCATGGGTTCTAGAGCACATGGGGTCAGTAGTTGCAGTGTGCGGGCTTAGTTGCCCTGTGGCACGTGGCATCTTAGTTCCCCAGATAGGGATCGAACCTGCATCCTCTGCATTGGCAGGCAGACTTTTCAACCACTGGACCACCAGGGAAGTCCCATGATATTTTGCTAAACATTTTATTTCTTGATTAAATTTTGGCACCCTACCATGACCTTTAGAAGATAGGAATTTAAGCAGTATTATAAAATGAAAGTTTCATTTCTCTTTGCTGTCTTAATAGCTTATAGGCAACTCACAGAGTATGTCTGAAAGCCAAAAACCAACCTATTGAATTTTTAAGTGAAAACATGTGATTGATTTTATTAATCACTAAATTAATAAATTGTGTCTGTGAGAAGATAGTTTCCCAAAGCTAATTGTTATTGCATGTTAGTTCTTGAACATTCTTTTAATGTATTCTTGGTAGCATATGATAAAGCACTTAATTAATGATCTAGCTGCAAACATTAAGTTATTGAAGGCATTATTTATTATAGTAATTTGAAACATAAGAGCTAGGTATGAACACCAGGCTGGTATTTGCTTATCTGCAGTAACCTCACTTACTCAGAATGTGTAAAGGATAAGTCTGTAGTAGTGAAAAGTCTGAATAATGGAATACTCAAATACATGAAGTTTATTACACTATCTTCTTTAATAGTGTTGCCTGGAGAAGGTCCTTAGAAGAACTACTTGAGAGAGTAGATAAGAATGATTTGATTTGTGTTTAATTTGCAATTTATCTTATAATGGTTGCTGCCAAAGTCTTTGGAGGATATTTAAAAGTAACTTAGGACTTCCCTGTCAGTCCAGTGGTTAATACTCCTAGCTTCCAAGCTGGGAGCATGGGTTTGACCCCTGGTGGGGGAACTAAGTTCTCACATGCCACGTGGCCAAAAATATAAATAAATGTAGCTTAACTAACTATTTTAAACATTCTTAATAAATTCTTTTGTTTGTTTTGTTTCTTTTAAAATAATAGTTATCCTTCATTCACAGTTTAATGGTAAATTGAGTTCAGTCTTATTTATAAAAATTATCAAAAAACACTGAATTGATGTTTAATTATGTCTTTCTTGTTTTCTTCTTCAAATTTAAAATTAACAGCATTCCTTCCCAGACTGTGGGAAGCCTAGTTGGCCAAATTCTTCTATAAGGAGAATGCCTAGTTTTGAAGTATTGATTTTAAAGGGTTGTTAGAGTCTGTGTTTTAGACAGAGAGTCCTCTTTCAGAATGAACCTTCTGCTATCAGAAAAGGAGAATTTCAGGAATGGAAAACATCTAAAATAAAAGATCTTGGATTTACCTAAAACTGAAAATATTAAATTTGTAAATGGAAATTCTGTCCATCTCAGAAGAGTGTTTCTAGGAAAGAGATATCCATATATGTATAATGTGGAAAGTCTGGTGTACTTGAGAATTGGAAAGCTATTTGTAGAAGAGGTGGGCTGCAGTTTTAGGGAAGAGATAACATTGTTGATACAGGGAAAGTATTAAAAAGTTAACAGAGAGAGGACAAAATGGAAATAGGTCCTTTTTGTTGGTGAAAGATCCTGAAATGAAAGCACCAACCTCAATAAGCAAATGTGCCATGTAGAATGGGGATTAGAAAAAATGCATGACCTGTGCTGGGAATATGAACCCCACTGCAATGTTGTTATCATCAAGTCACTGAGTGTACAGTTTAGGCATCCAGTCCCGGAGTAGAGAGTCTTTGTCTGATTTGTGAGATGAGACTTGAAACGAGAATTTCTAATCTGAGAGATGAGAATGTTTGGGTTCCTATACTGTTTAAGATTGTGCTTTAGGTATGTGGAAGTAGAGTCTGAGGCTAAAGCTACTGTTAGTTTGTCTAGAATTGAAATAGTATTAAATTTATTTACTCAGAAGAGTTTACTTTTAGCCATGTTTTTAAAGTCCACTGAGTAACTTCTTTCCATCATTTATTCCATTAAAATGTTTTGAGGAACTTCCCTGGTGATCCAGTGGTTAACACTTTACCTTCCAATGCAGGGGTTGTAGGTTCAATCCCTGGTCCAGGAACTAAGACCACATATGCCTTGAGGCCAATAAACCAAAACACAAAACAGAAGCAGTATTGTAACAAATTCAGTAAAGGATTTAAAAATGGTCCACATCAAAAAAAATCTTAAAAAAATAAATTAAAAAATGAAATGTTTTGTTTCTTCATACAATTTATATTTCTAATTAAAAATGAGGCCATTATTGGATAGCATGACCGATTGAATGAATATGAATTTGAGCAAACTCCAGGAAATAGTGAAGGACAGGGAAGCCTATTATATTATCTATAGCCATGTAACAAATTACTATTGAACTTTAATTACTTCAAACAACAAATATTAACATCTCACAGTTTCCAGTGCAACTTAGCTGAGTAGTTCTGGTTTACCATTTCTCAGGAAACTGTAATCAAGATGATGGTCAGGCTGTAGTCATGGCTTGACTGTGTACTGGTAGATTTGCTTTTAAGATGACTTATTCAGATGACCCTTGGCTTTTGACAGGAAACTTAGTGTCTTGGGCTTCCCTGGTGGCTCAGTGGTAAAGAATCCATCTGCAATGCAGGAGACTGGGGTTCGATCCCTGGGTCTGAAAGATCCCCTGGAGAAGGGAATGGCAACCCACTCCAGGATTCCTGCCATGGACAGAGGAGCCTGGTGGGCTCCAGGCCACAGGGTCACAAAGAGGCGGCCACGGCTGAGCGACTAACACTGGCTTTTCACGTGGTGCCTGGCCAGGTGGGCCTCTCCCTAGGTTGTTTGGTATATTCTTCGTGGCAGCTGGCTTCCCTCTGCCACAGTGATCCAGAAGAAACAAAGAGGAAGAGTTTCCAGTCTCAAAATTTACACACTGTCACTCCCACATACCTTGTTCCTGAGAAGAGAGTCCCCAAGTATGGACAGCACTTAAGGGGAGGGGAATTAAGCTCCATTTTTTGAAGGCAAGAGGATCAGAATTGAGACATATTTTAAAGCTACCATGACCATAAGCCTACTTTTATCTTTTCACTTTGAGTTGTTTATCATTCACAACTTAATGCAGTGTTTCCCAGAGTGTTGAACGCAAGTTTCTGAAACATGAAGAAACAGAACTGTAATTTTATCATCACTAGTTTTGTCACGCAATTTATATTTTTAATTAACATAGGGCCATTATTAGACTGGATCTCTGGTAACTCTTGTCATTACTGTTACTTTATATGTGATTCAGTCAAAAATACTTTAGAACCTACCATGTGGAAGACAAAGCATAAAGCCTGTGTATGTGTCTAACCCACGCCCCCAACCACACCCACACTGATTCCCTCCTCTCTCTCCCCTGCTTCATGTTTCTCTAGCACTTTCCTCCTTCCTCCCTCCCTCTGCTGTAGCCACACTGACCTCCTTCTGTTGCTTGATTTAGCAAACAGTCTTTTCCCTTTTGCTATAGCTGTATGCTTTGTCTGGAATATTTCTCTTCCGTTTTTCAATGGTTGACTCCCTCAGTGTGGACTTCCCTGATCACCCCATTTTAAATTTTATTCTTTGTAAACACTCCCAATATCCTTAAGGATATTACTCCTTTTTTCTAATGTACTATATAATTTATTTTTAGGTTTATTTTTTTGTCATCTACCGACTAGACTATAAGGTGTCCAAAGGCAAGGATCTTTGTCTATTTCATTCCCTTTTTAAAAATCTAAAGTATAGAACAGGTGTGAGTGTTCATTATATTTTTTCTTGAATGACATAATCACTCTCTGATATATACTTTTCCTATTATCTTTTGTTTTTCTCTTTTCAACTAGAATGTTAGCTCCATGAGGGTAGAGGTTCCTGTTTTATTCCGTGCTATAACCAGCATGTGAGACAATCAGAAACACAGTAAGATCCTCATTAAACAATTGTCAAATGAAGGCAGTAACATCTTTTCATTTGGGCCAGTTATAAAAGTTTTTTTCAGAGTGGAATAAGCATTAAACTTTTTTATCTTGATAAAAGTAATACATTTTTTTAAATAGAAGAGTATAATGAAGAAAATAATATGTAGCATAATCACACCTTGCTATACCTAAACATAATCTATCTTGCTCAGTTTACATACTATTGATTATAGTCCATCTGTTTTTGGGATATGTATGTATAAATTCGTTTTTTACCAGAATGTGTCATACTGGATAAAATTTTTGACAGTGTGAGTTTTTATACTTAATTTTTATGAACACCTTTACACATAGATAGACCTATGCCAACAAAGTTCCATCTAGTCAAAGCTATGGTTTTTCCAGTAGTCATATATGGGTGTGAGAGTTGGACCATAAAGAAAGCTGAGTGCCAAGGAATTGATGCTTTTGAACTGTGGTGTTGGAGAAGACTCTTGAGAGTCCCTTAGACTGCAGGGAGATCTAACCAGTCCATCCTAAAGGAAATCAGTCCTGAGTATTCATTGGAAGGACTGATGCTGAAGCTCTAGTACTTTGGCCACCTAATGTGAAGAGCTGTCTCATTGGAAAAGGCCCTGATGCTGGGAAAGATTGAAAGCAGGAGGAGAAGGGGACAACAGAGGATGAGATGGTTGGATGGCATCACCGACTCAATGGACATGAGTTTGAGCAAGCTCCAGGAATTGGTGATGGACAGGGAAGCCTGGCATGCTGCAGTCCATGGGGTCACAAAAAGCTGGACACGACTGAGCGACTGAACTTACACATAATTCAGAATAGATCCACATCTTTTTAGTGTTTAGATAGTAGTGGAAATTAAAGCATTGAAAATCATTCAAAATTATATATAAGCTTATCCAAACTGTACATGAGTTATATTCCATACTACAACTAACCCTTTAGTATTTCATAAACTAAAATATGACTGCCAGAGAAATCTTAGAACTTTGGTCTAAAGAATAAATGAGAAGAAATAATTCCAGAAAATTCAAATTTTAAAGGGAAACATTTTAGTTTGGAATAACAAAGGAGGAGGCTATGAATTGAGAAATAAATCCATTAAACTAATATGCCAACTTTTAACAGAGATTTACAGCTTTGCATAAAAACATAACCACTATTCCCTAGGAATGTACAGTCCAGTTATAGACTAAATATATGACCACAAGGCTGTTAAGACAGTGTCATAAAACTGATATAGAAAGTATTTTGTTGGTTGGATTGAATTAAACTATTAAAAGAGCTCACAGGAAAGAGTGATCATTTCTGACTTGGGAAAACTTAACTCCATTCTAGTCATTCTTTTGACTTCCTTATTCTCATCTTCAGAACTATAATTAGTATTAACATTTTCTTTCAGTTTATGAGCAGTAGTTTGGTGATGTGAAATCAAATAGTATTTTATACAAAACATTAGATAATCTAAAGGAACCGCTTCATTTCATTCTAGGTTCTTTTACCATCAAAAGTAGGTAAATATAAAGGAATAAATTATCTTTTCTCTCATAAAATATTTACTATCTGCATGATTTTAAGTGGCTTCTGTTTCTTATGCTCTCTTTCCAACAAAAGCAATTTAGACATTTCCCACCTAAATAGCATTTTTTTCTGGCTTTTTTTTCAGATTGAGCTCATTTGCCAGCAAAATAATATAAAAGTATTGGAAGATACAATAAAAAGGCTCAGATCTGTAAGTACATTTTTCATAAATAAATGTTAAGTAATCACTTTTGTTCTGTTAGTAGGACTGCAAAAAGTTATACATATGTTTTGGCTCTCATGTGATTTTTGAAAAATAAAAAAGTGTTTTGTTTTCTAAAATCGGCGCTCTCCCTGGTGGACAGGAGTCCTCCCACCTGTAAAAGCGGTGCTGTTCTTGCTCCCTTTCCTTAGTCCATCCTTTCTTAGAGCTGGAGAGAACTTTTGCTTGGTTTTATTAATGTCCTTAGCTGTTACTTGATTAAAATGATGTCTGTGAGTAATTTAATTCTCAAAATATAAGCTGTATTTGTTTACACATTAACTTTTATCCCTCTTAATAACAAATATTTTAAAGTCAAATGTTGTTACTTAGTTCTGAGTGATATGTTCTCTTAAACAATGTGAGATGAAAGTCACTCTGTTTAGGTATTTTAATGTTGTCATTTAATATTTGAAACACTCTCTCTAAAAGTATGTCTGTACTTTTATCCCAATAAAGTATTGGTAAATAAATGTAAAGCAAATGCTTCTGAATATATTAAAGTGAATGGAAATGCACTTGAAAGTATATACAAACAGAACATCCAGCATTCATTTAATTTATTCAATTATTTTATTTTATTCAGTAAATGTATTAAATTAATCCAACTTTAAATTAATTTATTCATTGAACAATTATTGAATAAAACTTGAAACTATAAATAGATGCTTTAATAGCATACAAGTTTCTCTAAGCAAATTAATTTTATTTCTAGAACTTGTAACTAGATCTCTTATAAGAAACAATACTGGCCTCTGAAATTTCTTTACTATTTTTTCTTCAAAATTATTGTGTCAACATAGGGACATTTTCAGTGAAATAAAAATACATTACATTCAGAAATCCTGGAAAAGAAAGGTACTAACTGCTTTTAATTTTTTTTCTAACTGCTTTTTAAAAAGTATTGCTGAATTATTATTTTTTGAATTATTTCAAAATACCAAATTTATTATTTTTAAGGATCCTGTTTGCTTTCAACTTGCATTTAGAAAATGATGATATAGTTTAGCTTGAAATAATGGCCTAATTTTTTCCTCCTTGGCAAGATAATTTTAGAGACTGAAAAAGCACAAAATAAATCTCCTTCCAGACTTGATTCCTTTGTCAAAACTTTAGAAGCAGACAGAGATTACTACAAGAGTGAAGCTCAAAATTTGAGAAGGATGATCAGAAGTAGATCTAAAAGCCCACGACGCCCATCTCCATCTTCTCGGGTAGGTGTTTGGAAACTTGTAAGTGTTTTGGAATTTGTTGCTGAAGCAGTGGATTTTATTTTTTGATTCACCTAATCTGGAAATAATTCCTTTTAATTTGGCGTGACTTGGTGTCTCAAGGAGAATGGGAGATGGAACTCTCTTTGATGGCACCGTGGATAATCAAAATTGGTCCTTTATCCCCAGCATTAGTAGTGGTTGGGGGGTAATCACACAAATGTGGAGCAATTTGGGATGATGTTGTTTAAAAGAGAAGTGATTTTTAAGCTTTTTTTTCATTATTTCATTATGTACTCATGTTTGCTTAACCAGAAATTGTGTGCAGCCACCAGTAGGATGTTTCTCTTAGTGTGTGCGTGTGTATGTGTGTGTGTGTTTTGTTGCTCAGTTGTGTCCGACTGCTTGCAACTCCATGGACTGTATTAGTAACACATGTCAAAGGAGAATTTCACATTAAAAAAAAAATTTTGCTGAAGTATAGTTGATTTACAGTGTTGTGTTTAATTTCACTCTGTACAGCAAAGTAACTCAGTTATATGTACATATTTTCTTTTTCATATTCTTTTCCATTATGGCTCATCATAGGATATTGAATGTAGTTTACCTGTGGTATACAGAAGGACCTTGATGTTTATTCAGATTTCTCATGTAATAATTGTAGGGTACAAACTGTGATGTAGAGCTTTTGAAGACAACTAGAGACCGTGAAGAACTCAAATGCATGCTGGAAAAATATGAGCGTCATTTGGCAGAAATTCAGGGTAATGTCAAGGTTCTCACATCTGAGAGAGACAAGACCTTTCTTCTGTATGAGCAGGTAAACTTATTTATACGTAAACAAAATATGTAAATACTAGCATTCAGGTCTGCGTGCGTGTTTGTGCGTGCTCAGTCACTTCAGTCGTGTCCAACTCTTTGTGACCCTAGGACAGTAGCCCACTAGGCTCCTCTGTCCATGGGATTCTCCAGGCAAGAATACTGGAGTGGGTTTCTATTCCCTCCTCCAGGGGATCTTCCTGACCCAGGGATCGAACCCAGGTCTCTCATGTCTCCTGCATTGGCAGGTGGGTTCTGTATCCCACCTGGGAAGCCAGCATTTATTTACTGCTGCTGCTGCTGCTAAGTCGCTCCAGTCGTGTCCGACTCTGTGCGACCCCATAGACGGCAGGCCACCAGGCTCAGAGATGGGTAAATTCTTTCAGTTCTGTGAGAATACTTAAATCTATTAATCAAATTAACATTTTGGAAGTACCTTTGTTCTTATGATGTTAATACCCGTTATCCTCATATCCTAGAAAGATGATATACATGCATAGAAATAGCCTGATTTTTAAAATAAGAAATGAGAAAAGTGTTAAGTAACCGGATATAGTGAGTTCAAGGTGAAAATATTTGGATTTGGAGGTTAAAAAATATTAACACATCACTTGTGGTGTACTGTCAATCACTTTAGGAATTGCCATAAAATTTGTTTAATTTCAGAGAGTAAAATCAATTTGTCATTTATCTGTATTTTTAGTTTATGATTGTACAACCCTTATTAAACAAATAGCTTCTTTACTCAATTAAACCCCATATATCACCAACATAATTTTTTCAAAAATATCAAATTTTATTAAGAATTGCAACTACTAAGTGTAAGGTTCTGGGCTTGTTACTCTAAAAGATAGAAAAAATAAGACACTCTTTCCTATGTTTACATTCTAGTTAGGAAGAGAAATATATTGTGTTGTATCTATTTTTTGTTCTTTTAGCATAAGTAGTCTAAAAGATATTATAAGAAATAGAAGAGATGGGTATTTTTTAGTTTTGGCAATTAAGATCTTTGCTGGACTATATGGAGTTTAAGTCCTGAAGGAAGATGGGGTTTCTTTTATCTTGAAAGGGGTAAAAAGGAACATTCAAGCTAAAGGAATGACCTGAAACAAAGGGTAAAGGCAGGAAAAACAGTGCGTGAATGAATCCATTTATGACTAGAGCAAAAGGTATATGTCAGTGGAGTGAGGTGGGAGCCAAGGCTTGAGAGGTGGACTGGACTAGAGCAGAAGCTTTCACACTTTTTCTGTGAAGGCCCGGGTGAAAAGCAGCTTGGGCCTTGCAGGCTGTGTGAGCGCTGACCCAGCTGTCAGCTCTGTTGTTGCAGTGCAGCAGCCCCAAGAGATAACAAACAGGAGAGTGAGTTTGTTCCTGTTATTCAGTCGCTCAGTTGTGTCCAGCTTTTCGCAACCCCATGGCCTGCAGCACGCCAGGCTCCCCTGTGCTTCACTATCTCCCTGAGCCTGTTCAAACTCATGTCCGTTGAATCAGTGATGCCATTCAACCATCTCATCCTCTGTCGTCACCTTCTCCTCCTGCCTTCAGTCTTTCCCAGCATCAGGGACTTTCCCAATGCGTTGGCTCTTTGTATCATGGGGCGAAAGTATTAGAGCTTCAGCTGCAGCATCAGTCCTTCCAATGAATATTCAGGGTTGATTTCCTTTAGGATACGGCTGTGTTACAGTGTAACTGATTTATAGAGACACAAGTACTTGAAATTCCATAGAGTGGTGGATGTGTGGGAGTCAGCTTAGACTGGGGTAAGAGAGTGGGTGATAAGGAACAGGCAGGGTGTACAAACCATGACACTTAAAAAAAAAGCTGTCAAAGGAAAAAGAGACAAATGATGATAAATGGGACAGTAGGATTAAGTGACAGTTTTTCAAGATATGGGAGCCGTGTGCAGAGTTGAAGAAGTAGAGAAAGAGCCAGTGGAGAGGGTGGTATTTAAAGTGAGACAAATAATTAAAATTGAATTGGGGTATCTTAAAAGACACTTCAGGAAACGAGGTCCAGGAGTCTGGTCAGGGCTTACCTATGGAAATTGGGAAGTAATATATCTTCTTCTGAGACTTAGATACTAGCTGAATAGATAGTGAGCAAAATCAAGAGGAAGGAAGATAAGGGACGGAAGTAGCAAAGTAGGGTATGAAATCACCTGCAGATATGGAATAGACTTGGAACCCAAGGATGGTTGTTGAACCAGTATGTGACGCGTAGGTTGGGTTATCAGTAAGGATCAGTGGGCCTTTCTGTCAGGGTGAAAGTAGTCAAGACCACTGGTAATGGCACATACATTTTTGTAGAGAAATACTGGAACACTATGATATTTTTAAACCAGTGTTCTGCCTATATTGTGCTGATTTCAAATTTATTACAAAATGGATGATATATATTGTAGGTACTTCTTAGTAAAACACTCTCTCTTGCATTAACTGCCTCCAAATAATTAATTTTTGGCAAAGATAGTGTAAACCAAACTTCTGTTTGTAGATATTCATTTACATTTGGGGCATCATTTGCATTTATTTGTGTAAGTTCATTAACGAATTATATCATTATCCTGCTGCATGCACATTAATTAATATAGGCTTGCATTTTGTCTGGCTGGATAGAAGATAGCAGTCTTTATTTCTTTCCTAAAGCTTGTTAAACAGAAGTCTATGTATTTAAATAATAGGCACAGGAAGAAATTGCCCGACTTCGACGAGAAATGATGAAAAGCTGTAAGTCTCCTAAATCAACAACAGCACATGCTATCCTCCGGCGGGTGGAGACTGAGAGAGATGTGGCCTTCACTGACTTGCGAAGAATGACCACAGAACGAGACAGTCTGAGGGAGAGGCTAAAGGTTCGAGAAAGAATTTTATCTCTGTGAGGATCTGTGAGATGCAAAACAGCAACATTAAGAGCACCTTTGTTTTGTTTTTGTTTTTTAAACAGATTGCCCAAGAGACAGCATTTAATGAGAAGGCTCACTTGGAACAAAGGATAGAAGAGCTGGAGTGTACAGTTCATAATGTAAAAAAAAGTCACTTTTGCACTTTGGGCTATAAACTGTCAATGGCTCCCCACTTTCCCCGTTTTCTGTGTTCAGAAAAGTTGGTTTTCTCAGATAGCATTTGTGGTCATAAAATGTTTAAGGTGGTGTATATGCTGTAAATTGTCACTTTTTCATTATTTATTTTCTTCTAAAAAATGTGAGTAAAGTCTTTTTTGTGTTAGGTTGTGTATGCTTTTTGTGTATGTTCTTTAAAGAAAAACCATTAGGGATGCATTCTCAGTGATTTTAACACTTTTTCATCTTCCTGTCTCATGATAACATTGCCAGGGACAGAGAAACTGGCTTATTCTTCCTAAACAGTAGCTAGGGTAGAAAAAATTATAACAAAATGAAAACCAATGAGAAAAATATATTTACTCTGAATTTAATTGTGAAGCATCACCATTTTACTAGTTAAGGCTTTGAGATGCTGTCCATATATATTAGAGATATTATGACTATATAAACAGAATTAAGGGAATTCAGCTTTCCGTTACCAACTTTAATCGACTATATTTTTAAATTCATCTTTTATGTTGTATAATGAGTTTGTTTGTTTTAAAGCAATCGACAGGAGTAGACAAAAAAACAGGGTTTTTTTCATAATCCCAGTTTGTATGTGTAACTTGTTCGTATTGAGCAACAAATAAGAAATCTTCTTGCAAATAGGCTATGTGTGCTATAGTCTAGCTGAACCAGATTGAAAATGTGCATCTACTGTGATAGGCTTTATGGATAAGCTGTGGGCAGCTTGCCCAAGTTCCTACTCCACAGTACCTTGTCCTTGTAGCCTCCAGAAGGTTCACATCTAATCTGACCATCTCATATACCAGTTTGTACAAAGACAGAATGTCTCTCTTGAGAGATTACTGAGATGTTTTTAGTGATGGCAGTAACCTTGTCATTCTGCTTGTATAGCTTGATGATGAACGTATGGAGCAAATGTCAAATATGACTTTGATGAAGGAAACCATAACCACTGTGGAAAAAGAAATGAAATCACTAGCAAGAAAGGCAATGGATACTGAAAGTGAACTTGGCAGACAAAAAGCAGAGAATAATTCTTTGAGGTAAAGTCAATTACCGTTAAACCAATGGTTTACTACAAATAATAGCTCTGCTTTTTGAAGGATATTTTAGGGTGATAATTAAGTTATTTGTTGACTTTAATTTTTGAAAGGATTATTATGAAGCGGTAGTGGACACGTCAGTACACATTAAATGATTTCCTAAAGGTTAGTTACAGACTGACAGACTGGGAATGCCACACTTATAGGAATCAAACTTCTAGTAATTTTAATCTTGTATTTGCAGAAAGCTTCAGTATTTAGCTGAAATAGCGTTTACAAAGCCCTTCTGGATAAAGAGCATGTTTGACCTTGGCCTTTCACTGTTTAATTTACCTTATAACTTAAATTATGTTCTGGGATCTGAACAGTATAAGAAAACACAAAGGACAGGTTTGACAATAGCTTAGAAAAGGGGTGGTTTAACATCCAGTAAAAGCTGTAGCAAAGAAGTGAGAACATGTAACGGAACTTCTGTTAACTGAATGCCACATACTGTGTAGCTGTTCCTACATACTGCTCTGAAGCGGGAGAAATTCCAGTTAAAGCAACCTACAGGCTGTGGTATAGGGGAGTAAGTTTTTAAAGATCTCCATGTTAGTGGTTTTACTTGTAGTGTCTACAGATGTGAGAAATAGAAATTCTACACATTCGCTCAGGTTGAATTTCAGTGTATCTATAAACGTGTGAAAAATAATAGTTCATGAGTGTGAAATACATTATTTAGTCTACAGATAATACTTGGTTCATATACAAATTCCCAAAGTCGCCTCTTTGGTTTTTCAAGGGTCTGTGGTACATATTGATGCATTGGAATCACTTGTCAGGACAGAGAATTACTCAAATTCTTTCCCTTCATTTATTAATTTATTTTTAATTAATTAATTTATTTTAATTGGAGGCAAATTCCTTTACAATATTGCAGTGGTTTTTGCCCATACATTGACATGAATCAACCATGGGTGTATATGTGTTCCCCATCCTGAACCCCCCTCCCGCCTCCCTCCCCATCCCATCCCTCTGGGTCATCCCAGTGCACCAGCCTGAGCACCCTGAATGATACTGTGATGGTTTTTGCCATATGTCAACATGAATGGGCCATAGGTCTACTTATGGCCCCTTCCTCTTGAACCCCCCTCCCGCCTCCCTCCCCATCCCATCCCTCTGGGTCATCCCAGTGCACCAGCCTGAGCACCCTGCCTCATGCATCAAACCTGAACTGGCGATCTGTTTCACATATGACAATATACATGTTTCAGTGCTATTCTCTCAAATCATCCCACCCTCGCCTTCTCCCACAGAGTCCAAAAGTCTGTTCTATACATCTGTGTCTCTTTTGCTGTCTCACATATAGGGTCATCATTACCATCTTTCTTAATTCCATATATATGCGTTAATATACTGTATTGGTGTTTTTCTTTCTGACTTACTTCACTCTGTATTATTATACAGGCTCCAGTTTCATCCACCTCATTAGAACTAATTCAAATGCATTCTTTTTAATGTCTGAGTAATATTCCATTGTGTATATGTACCACAGCTTTCTTAGCCATTTGTCTGCTGGTGGACATCTAGGTCGCTTCCATGTCCTGGCTATTGTAAACAGTGCTGCAATGAACATTGGGGTACACATGTCTCTTTCAATTCTGGTTTTCTCAGTGTGTATGCCCAGAAGTGGGATTGCTGGGTCATATGGGAGTTCTATTTCCAGTCTTTTAAGGAATCTCCACACTCTTCTCCATAGTGACTGTACTAGTTTGCATTCCCACCAACAGTGTAAAAGGGTTCCTTTTTCTCCTCACCCTCTCCAGCATTTATTGTTTGTAGACTTTTTGATAGCAGCCATTCTGACCGGCATGGGATGGTACCTCATTGTGGTTTTGATTTGCATTTCTCTGATAATGAGTGATGTTGAGCATCTTGTTTGCTAGCCATCTGTATGTCTTCTTTGGAGAAATGTGTGTTTAGTTTTTTGGCCCATTTTTTTTATTGGGTCGTTTATTTTTCTGGCATTGAGCTGCATGAGCTGCTTGTGTATTTTTGAGGTTAACTCTTTGTCAGTTGCTTTGTTTGCTATTATTTTCTCCCATTCTGAAGGCTGTCTTTTCACCTTGCCCTTCATTTATTTTTACTCTCATGCTTGAAGGGATATTGCAGGTTCAGGTGAAATAATAATAATAATAATAATAATAATAAAATAAGAACAACAACAAAGAAAGCCTTGAAAAATAGAGAAAGTTTCCAAGAAATTTAAATCATCCATGATTCCATAGCCCATGGAAAATGCAGTAATATAGATTTGTTTTTCTAGCCAGAAGTGTTTATGTCTGTATACAAGCTTTCCATGTAATTGAGCTCATCCTATATTAAGTTATATATTTGGCCAATTTCACTTAATCACATACCATAAATATTTTCTCATGTAGTTGGAAGTTCTTTGAAAGCATTTTAGTGGTTTATTAAAAATATTCTGAAAGATAAATATATAATAAATTTGAGGGTTTTGTGTACATTTGTTTTCTTTTAACAGTATTATTAAAGTATAATTGACATGCATATAGTAAAAATTGCACATGCTTAAAGTGTTCAGTCTGGTAAGTTCTGACCTCCGTTTGTACCTGTAAGGCTTTCACCACACTCAAGACAGAAGCCCTGTCCATCACTGTCCAGAATTTTCTCACGCCTGTCTATCCTCTTCCCCAGGCCACCACTGGGTTTGCTTTCCATCACAGACTTATTCAGAGTTTCTAAAATGTTATGATATAAGTGAAATCATGCAGTGTATATGCTTTTATAGGGCTGCTTTCACTCAGCATAATTACTTTGAGATTTATCCATGTTGTCACATACAATCAATCGTTCATTCATTTTTATTGCTGAGTAGTACTCCATTGTATGGACATACCACATGACCGTTTCGGCTGTTCCCGCCTCAGAGCCATAGTCTAACCATTATGAGCATGCATACACACGTGAGTCTCTACATGGGTGTGTGCTCTGACTTCGCTTGGGTAGACACCTGAGACTGCAGTGACTGAGTCACATGATGAAGTGTGTTTAATTTCTGAAAAACCATTCAACGGTTTTCAAAGTGGTTGTGCTGTTTTATTCTACATTTTCACCAGCAGTGTATGAGTGTGCCAGTTGTTACATATCCTCATCAATACTTCATATACAGTATCTTTATAGTTTTAGCCCTCCTAATAGGTATGTATTGTGGTTTTGATTTGCCTTCTCTAATAACTAGTGATTTTGAGCATCTGTTCATGTCATTTTGTGCCATAAATATATCTTCTTTAGTGTCTGTTCAAAACTTTTGCAAACTTTTATGGAGTTATATATATTAATAAGTTGTAAAAATTCTTTCTATATTCTGGATATAAATTCTTTGTCAGGTACAATATATGTTTGGCATATATTTTTTCCCAGTCTGTGGCTTGCCTTTTTATTTTCCTAAGCATTTTTTTTTTTTTGACCATGCTTAGTGGCTCATGGGATCTTAGTTCCTGGACCAAGGATCGAACCTGGGCCACTACATTGAAAGCAGCAAGTCTTAACCACTGGGCCATTACTAGGGAACTCCTGTCCATTTCTTTATTTAGATCTTTAATTTCTCTCATAATGTTTTATAATTTTCAGTGTATAGATCTTACATTATTTTTGTCAATCTATCCCTAAGCATTTTCTGCTTTTTGATACTGATGTAAATGGAACTTTAAAATTTTACTTTCTGATTTCTTATATATGAAAATACAAATTTTTAAAAAGAAAACTTTGTATTATAGAAAAGTTTTAGATTTACAGGAAATTTGTGAAGATAGTTCAGAGTTCCTACATACCTCACACCCAGTTTCCTCTGTTAATAACATTTTGCATTAGTATGGTTTTTTTAAAATTAGCTGATCAGTATTGATATACTCTAATAAACTAAAGTCTGTAATTTATTCAGATTTCCTTACTTTCTCCATAATGTCCTTTTTCTGATCCAGGATCCCATACAGGACACCATATTACATTTAGTTGTCTTGTCTCCTTAGGCTTCTCTTGGCTATGAAAGTCTCAGACGTTCCTTGTTTGTGATGACCTTGACAGTTTTGAGGAATACTGATCAGGTATTTTGTAGAATGTCTTCCAATTGGAGTTCGTCTGATGACTTTCTCATGGTTAGACTGGGTTATGTTTTTGAGAGAAAGGTCACAGCAGTAAGGTGCCATTTTTGAGTACACAGATATTCAGGTGTCATGAGTACATCTTATCAATATGATGTATCACTGTTGATTTTGACTTCAGTTGCCTGGCTGAGGTAATATTTGCCTTTTCCAGAATGTCATATAATTGAAATCATACGGTACATAGCCTTTTCACACTGGCTTCTTTCACTTAGTAATGCGCATTTAAGGTTCATCCATGTGCTTTTCATACCTTGATAGTTCATTTCGTCTTATTGAATAATATTCTATCATATGTATGTACCACAGTGTGTTTATCCATACACCTATTGAAAGTCATCTTGGTTGCTTCTAGTTTTTGGCAATTGTGAATAAAGCTGCTATACACTTTCATGTGCAGGTTTTTGTGTGGACAGAGTTTTTATTTTTTTATTTAAATTTTTATTTTGTCTTCTCCTCACAGTTTGCAGGATCTTAGTTCCCTGAGTAGGTGTTGAACCTGTGCCCTCAGCAGTGAAAATGCAGAGTCCTAACCACTGGGATGCCAGAGAATTCCCAGAGCAGAATTTTTTAGATCAGTTCAGTAAATACCTAGGAGCACAATTGCTGACTCATATAGTAAAACTACATTTAACTTTGTAAGAAACTACCAAATTCTCTTTCAAAGTGAATATACTGTTTTGCATTTCCATTAAAAGGAATGAAGGAGACTTTCTGTCAGCATTTATTATTGTCAAATTTCTGTATTTTAGGCATTAAAATAGGTGTGTATTGATCTCTTGTCATAATTTGCAATTCTCTGGAGAAGGAAATGGCAACCCACTCCAGTATTCT